ATGACTACAATCAGCTTTTTCCTAGGTAGGTAGGAAAATTTTAATTTGCATATAATTTCTGTGTAGCTGTTTCTCCAGCTGTTGAAAATCTGCCTTATCCTCCTTGGCAAAGAATGCTAATTGCTGGAATTCCCTGGTGGGCCACTGATTTGGACTTGGTGATTGGCTGTGGCCCAGATGCAATCCCTGGAGGGGGAACTAAGATCCCACAAGCTGCCAGGCACAGCCAGGGGGGAAAGAGCTAATTGCCTACATAGTATCCATTTCCCCCTTCTTCCTTATAAGCAGAAGGCTGCTTTTTTTTTTTTTTTAGAAGGCTGCTTTTTTATCAAGGGAACAGTTCTGCTCCCATCCACCATGGGACCTCACTGGAGCAAGATAAAAGAGTCATCCAGGGCCTCCACTGGGTAACTCTTTGACCAGGGTGCTTGGAGAGAACCCTTGGTGAGTGGCCCCAGCCTGCGGGGCCCATAGAGCCCAGTTAGAGGAAACGAAGATGCAGCCTTAGGGCAGAGGGTCCTGGGGTTCCTGACACAGGTGGATGTCCCGTCTGGGTTTTCACTTGACCTGGTTGAGCTCAGTGGCACGACCCGTGTCAAGATGTCAGGTACTGTTAAGCTGTAGGTCTAAATTATTAAAGGCCGAGGTTTTTTCAGTTGGGGCACTTCATATTTTGCTTGGTGTGTGAGACCGTTTTGAGAGAGATGCTATAAAAATACTCGACATAATCCTTCCCAGGCCCTGATTTGGGCACATTCTTTGATCTTTTGAAAATATAGCCTACTATTAATACAAGTTATGTGACTCTCTTGGAGTTACAAATCTAGATCTCATCTGTTTTCAGCGCAGCACAGTGACAGCGCATCATCACTATAAGAAATATCAGTGTGAACAACAATATCTTCAGACTCAGTTAAATGCATGTCACTTAGTTTACTGTCTAAGCAGAGTGCCTGCTGGGTCTTTTAGACTGTTGTAAAACCAGCATGGAGGGCTTCCCAGGTGGCAGGGTGGTAAAGAATCTGACTGCCAATGCAGGAGATGTGGGTTCAATCCTTGGGTGGGGAAGATCCCCTGGAGAAGGAAATGGCAACCCATTCCAGTATTCTTGCCTGGAAAATTTCATGGACAGAGGAATCTGGTGGGCTACAGTCCTCAGGGTCACAGAACAGTCAGACACAACTTAGCGACTAAACAACAGCAACAACGTTCCCAACAGGTACCTTCTCCAGACAGCCTTGCCTACTGGGTCGAGCACGTGACCCAATCCTAAGCAATGAGCCATGAGCAGATCACTGGGTGCCCTTTGGGGAAAGCTTCAGTGTCAAGGAGTCAGTGGGCATGCCCCTTCTCTCCTTCCTGACTGAAAGGGCATCACATTGTTTAGGGGGACAGGCACCATCTTGGACCCATGGGAACTGCAGCCATAAAGACGGCAGATAGAAAGAGAGAGGGAAAGAGCCCCTCGGTATGGTGGAGCCATCACATCCGCGCTGGACGGCTCGTCTCCTGTCTCGCAGGTGCGTGAGGAAAAGCAAGCCTCTGTGTGGTTCAGCTACTCAGCTACTGTGAGTTTTCTATTCAGTGTAGCTAAACCTCTTCCTACTCGGTCAGCCTGCCCTTCTGTTTCCTCATCTCCTCACCTCACCATCATTATCAATAGCTGCCATGCGTCCTGACCAGACAACAGAGTGCTCAGCACATCACACGATAGGCTCTTAATACGCATTTGTTGAGTGCGTTTCCCAGATGAGGTCCTTGTGCTTCCAAACATGAGGCGATGGGAAGTATAAAACATCATCCACAAAATAGGCTTGCCAGAAGCACCTCATCTGAGTCCAGTGGTGAAGGAACTATGAGACAAATTCGACATGGAAGACAATCTAGAACATCTCACCCTTCCAAAAAGCTCCACGTGACAGAAACAGTAACCAAGAAGGTGGAATGGAGGATTGTTCTAGATTAAGAGAGACTGAACAAACATGACAACCCAGTGCAATGCATGAACCTCGTTGGATCCTGGAGACCAAACAACAAAAGAGACCTGCGTCCGCTGGTACACCTGGACCTGTCAGGAACCCCGGAGGCAGCCACAGTGGCCCGCGTGGTGCAGAAAGGACACTTCTCAAGAGAGGGGTACCCCCAACTCATGACCCCAAGCAGGTGACTCAGATCAAGAGAGAAACTGGGAGAGTTATTTTCTCCTCAAACCACTCATGTAGTTGGGTTAGAGAAGTCCAGGGGTTTCTTTACCATTCATTCTATCAACCAGGACAGCCAGAGAGGCTGAGGAAAGCTCTGAAACCTATCAGGGATGCTCCTGCAGGAAATGAAAGGCCGTTGTAGCCGATTTATTATAATCTTGCCACAAGCCTTGGAAGCCACCAGGGTTGCTGCTCCTGGGAGGTGAGAATCCAGGGATGCTCATCAGGGGTGTAGCAAAACTCAGCTACTGCCGCCACTCACCGTAACATGGCTGGTGTGGTGCATAAAGCAATAGAGGTGTTATTAATGCATAAAATAGCGACTGTGAAATGTCTTCTTACCCAGAGGGAGCAAAGCTGGGGACCTGGTGTCAGTGAGGCAACGCGAGACCAGGGGATCCACTAGGGGGCAGTGGAGTCCACTGGTTCAAGATAAAGTCTGGAACCCAGAGAACCCCTTCAGACCTGTCTTCACTTAGCAGATAGATGACCTGAGGCTGGTTATAACCTCTCTAAGCTTTAGTTTCCTCATCTGTAAAACGGAGATGAGAACAGTGTCTACAACAGAGGTTTGCTGTGGAAGATAAATGAGCTCGTCATGTTATTTGTTTATGTTTTATGTGAAAGTCTCCTAGTTGTGTCCGACTGTTAGCAACCCCATGGACTATATAGTCCATGGAATTCTCCAGGCCAGAATACTGGAGTGGGTAGCCTTTCCCTTCTCCACGGGATCTTCGTAATCCAAGGATTGAACCCAGGTCTCCTGCAATGCAGGTGAATTCTTTACCAGCTGAGCCACAAGGGAAGCCCAAGAATATTGGACTGGATAGCCTATCCCTTCTCCAGGGAATCTTCCCGACCCAGGAATCGAACTGGAGTCTCCTGCATTGCAGGCAGATTCTTTACCAGCCGAGCTACCAGGGAAGCCCATATTAAATACCCAATTTATATTGGCTATTATTCATTGTTTATAATAGCCAAGATATAGAAGCAAACTAAGTGTGCATCAACAGATGACTAGACAAATAGGAGATGGTGTATATATAATGGAATACTACTTAGTCATAAAATGAGCGAAATTTTGCCATTTGCAGCAACGTGGATGGACTTGGGGGATCCAGCAACATAGATGCTAAGTGAAATAAGTCAGACAGAGAAAGGCAAATACTGCATGATTTCACTTAGATGTGGAATCTAAAAAAACACAATAAACTAGTAAATATAATAGATAAGCAGACTCACAGATACAGAGAACAAACAAGTGGTTACCAGTGGGAAAAGGGAAGGGGGAGGGGCAAGACAGGAGTAGGAGAGTAAGAGGTACAGGTTTCCCAGGTGGGGCTGGTGATGAAGAACCCACCTGCCAATGCAGGAGATGAGCTTTTGACCCTGGGTCTGGAAGATCCTCTGGAGTAGGAAACCTGCTCCAGTATTCTTGCCTGGGAAATTCCATGGACCTCCCACTAGGAGCCTAGCGGGCCACAGTCCATGAGGCCTCAAAGAGTCAGACACCACTGAACACAGTAAGAGGCACAAACTACTATCTTTAAAATAAATAAGTTACAAGGATATGTTGTACAACCTGGAGAATATAGCCAATATTTTATAATAACTATAAATGGAGTATAACCTTAAGAAACTGTGAGTCACTATAATAAGATAGGGCTACCCAGGTGGCGCTAGTGGGAAAGGACCCGCCTGCCAATGCAGGAGACATAAGAGATGCAGGTTTGATCCCTGGGTCGGGAAGATCCCCTGGAAGAGGGCATGGCAACCTGCTCCAGTATTCTTGCCTGGAGAATCCCATGGACAGAGGAGCCTGGCGGGCTACAGTCCATGGGGTCACAAAGAGTCGGACACAACTGAAGTGAAGTAGCACTCATGCATACATATCATACACCTGTAGGTTGTGCAATCTTATACAACAACTGTACTTCAATAAAATAATAATTAAGTAATTACAATAGAGGTGGCTTAAAATAAATAGAATTTGTGTTGTAAAAATAAAGAAAAATGTCTTAATCCAAAGTTTAACTGCAAAAAATGTACATGAGCCATCATTATCATTTGCTAAAGAAAACACAACATTTATAGGAAAACTTGAAGGGTAAGGCTGCCCCTGCACATATATAACTTGGCGAGAGGTGGGTGTGCCGCTGAGCAAACAAGGACACACGCCTGGTGGAACTTACGGAGCAAAGTCTGGAAAATGCTGCTCACAAAGGTCAGTTGAGGAATGAATCACTGTGGGAAGGCGCAGACCTGTGACATGTCAGGAGAGGGGCTGCCCACTTGGAAGCTCCAGCCAGAACCTTTTAGTTCCTTTTTGTTGTTCAATCACTCTGTCGTGTCCGACTCTTTGGAACCCCGTGGACTGCAGCACTCCAGGCCTCCCTGTCCATCACCAACTCCCAGAGCTTGCTCAAACTCATGTCCATTGAGTCCGTGATGCCATCCAACCAACTCATTCTCTGTCATCCCCCTTCTCCTCCTGCCCTCAATCTTTCCTAGCATCAGGGTCTCTTCCAGCGAGTCAGCTCTTCACACCAGGTGGCCAAAATATTGGAGCTTTAGAATCAGCATCAATCCTTCCAACGAATATTCAGAGTTGATTTCCTTTAGGGTTGACTGGTTTGCTCTCCTTGTGGTCCAAGGGACTCTCAAGAGCCTTCTCCAACACCACAGTTCAGAGGCATCAGTTATTCATCACCTCAGTCTTCTTTATGGTCCAATTCTCACATCTGTGTATGATAACTGGAAAAACCATAGCTCTGACTATGCAGACCTTTGTTACTTTTAAAAAACATGTAATTGTGGTAAAGGGCCTTCCCAGGTGGCAGTAAAGAATTTGTCTGCCAATGCAGGAGACTCTAGAGATGCAGGTTCCCTGGGCCTGGAAGATCCCCTAGAAGAATGCATGACAACCCACGTCAGTATTCTCACCTGTAAAATCCCATTTACAGAGGAGCCTGGTGGGTTACAGTCCATGGGGTCACAAGGAATCAGATTCAACTGAGCACAACTGTGGTAAAATACACATAACATAAAATTTACCATCTTAGCAATTTTTAATTTACATTTAGTGCATTCACATTGTTGTGTAACTATCATCAACGTCCATCTCCAGAATATTTTTCATCTTGCAAAACTGCAACTCTGTACCCATTAAACAACAAAATTCCTTCCGCCTCAGGTGACCACTGTTCTACTTTCTGTCTCCGTGAATTTGACTACTCTGTACTCTAGGTTTCCCTGGTTGGCTCAGCAGTAAAGAATCCACCTTCCAATGCAGGATAAGTGGGTTCAATCCCTGGGTCAGGAAGATCCCCTGGAGAAGGAAATGGCAACCCACTCCAGTATCCTTGCCTGGAAAATTCCATGGACAGAGGAGCCTGGCGGGTCCATGGGTTCGCAAAGAGTCGGACATGACTTGGAGACGGAACAGCTAGGTACCTCATGTAAGTGGAATCACAATACTTTGTAGCTGCCTTCTATAATGTCCTCAGGGCTCATCCATGTTGTTGTATATGTCAGAATTTTCTTCCCTTTTAAGGCTGAATTCCATTGTATGTATATATGACATTTGGCATATCCATTTGTATGTTGATGGATATTTGTAACCCTTTTTTAGTTCTTTTTGAACTAGGTAATACATCAGGAATTTTCTGGGAGGGGATGAACAACCAAGGGAACCTGCAGCTGAGCTCTGGGATGCAAAGAAAGCTCCAATTCAGCAAAGAGCCATAAAAATGATTCTCAGACAAGGGAAAAAAGAAATTCAGCCAGTGTATAGACTCGCATATGTGTATATGCACTAAATGTCGCTCATGCAGTGGAGGGGTGACTTCCTTGTGACGGTCATTGCCTCTCAGCTCCAAAGCCGAGCTTCTCTACTTGGCTTCATGCTACTGGGTGAAGGTTCTGCAAACCATAGGGGTGCAACAGGAAGGCTTCAAGCCTGCAGGAAGAAGGTGGGACTTGAGACCTCCTTTCTGCTTGCGGTTATTCAGAGCAACACCCAACACCCCTGCCTCCCTCTCTGGCAGGGGCTATGTTTTCCTGTAACAGCAGTTGAATCCAGTTTCCAGTTACTCCAGCGCTTACAGAGACAGTGTCATTGCTCCCTGACCATCACCAGCCCACCAGCATCCCCTCCTCAGAGGGCTGGGTCCTGGCCCCATGGCACCACTCCTCTAATGTGTAAGGTTTTAAGTAATTCCCCACCCATCTGCCTTTGTTTTCACAGTCTGCGAGGTCAAAACTGCCTCCTCTAAGATATCTTGGCCTTCTCTTTAATGTAATTAACCATTCTTTATATTTACTTCTCTCTTCTCATATTATTGCTGTGGGTTTTGTCTCCTGACTAGAGTCAAACTGCCACACCACTATCTCACACCCTTAATGCCCTCCCAGACTGCATGTTTGAACCCAAACCCTTTGCTCTAAGTAAGGATTCACGCAGTGTCCAGTTTCATTCAGAAAATTAAAGATACTATAGGTGAAGGGATCTCAAACATGCCCACCTGCACCCCATCTATAAAAATTTCTATGGCCTATTTTATTTTGTAATGGATTTGTGATTTTTTTTTTTTTTTGGCCACACCACATGGCATATGGGATCTCTGTTCCCCAGTGAAAGTGAAAGCTGCCCAGTCAAGCCTGAATTTCTGGGCGAATGCTGCACACCAAGACGCAGCAGGGCCCCAGGCAGGGCGCGACTCCCTGGGTTCGGAGTCAAGGCATCTCACCTGCTGTCGCTGATCAAGGCCCTTTGAAGGCTTGCAAGGCCTCCCCGCTGTACGTAGTCTAAACAATAAGATGTTCACCAGAGTTCTTTCCCAGAAACTTGCAGTCAGCAGTGTCTCGTTTGAGCAGAGCTGGTGAAGGCCAGCTCGGATCACAGACCCTCCAGCTGGACAGACGTGAGTGAGCTTTCGAACACGTGGAGGCCTGCAGGCTAGTTACAGCTGTGCAAACTAATGATCACCACACCTTTTCCCAATCACCTTCCCCTCACTCCCCGTGTCTAAGCCCATCCTGCTGCTGCTTTTTTTTTTTTTTAAAGAACTTCTCTTGCTCTCTTTTGCCATGTGGGTTGTGGGATTTTAGTTCCCCAACTGGGATTGAACCCAGGCAAAAGTTGAGCTCGGCCGTGAATGCATGGAGTCCTAACCACTGGACTGCCAGGGAATCCCCTCGCCCTCCTTCTTTATTCTTTATCTCATAAACACCCCAGGCCACTTCCCTTTAGGGAGGCAGATTTGAGGCTTGTTTCCTAGCTGAGCTGCCTTGCGAACAGACCTTCACTTTGCCCTGGCATCTCAGCATTTTAGCTTGCTGTGCATCAGGCAAACTAGCCTGGTTGGGTAACAGGAGGAGGCAGGGTGGTGACACTCAATGTCTTTGCTGAATGGATAAGATGGACAGGGAGTCACCCCTCACCTGCTTGCTGAAGGGATCAGTGAGTGGGTGGGATTCTGTAGCCAGAGCTCACAGCACACCTGAGCCACATTTCTCCCAATGAGGCCCTTGGACCACCTGCTCCGGAATCACTTGGGGATTTTGCGAAAAAATACAGACTCAAAATCCACATGGGAGGGGGAAGGGTGCTCAAAGAGACATAAGAGCTGGGGGAAAGAGGTCCTGGTGGCCAACATTGGGACAGTTCGAGCAACAAAGTGGTACTGGGTTATAACCCAGAATATGAAATAAACATCTGTGAGTCTATACTGATGTAAATACATGGTTGAGTAAATAAACAGGGGAGAAGAGGCAAATCTGTGCAGAAAAATTCCAAATAATTCATGCAGGTCCTCTGTCCTTAAAGATACGGAGCCTCATTTCACCCTCGTGTGAGTTGCACGTGGTGGCTTCCTTTCAAAGAGGGCAGTATAAAAAGGCGTGTGTGTGTGTGTGAGAGAGAGAGAGAGAAAGAGAGATTAATCTGACGGTAGAGGAACCCAACTAACAAAGCCTCAGCCTGCCGATCGAGGTCAACACAGTGAGGAACCAGCCTGACAGTAGGCACACTTGCTACGAAGTGATGGAAATGGCAGTCTACCCTTGGATCTTCCCCCTGGCAATCCATAACCTCAATCTTACCGTGAGAAAAACATCCAGCAAGTTCTAATAAAGTTCTACAAACCGCCTGACCGATACTCCTCAAAAGAGTCAAGGTCATGGAAACAAGGAAAGTCTGAAAAGCTGCCACAGCCAAGAAGAGCCTAAAGAAATGCGACAATTAAATGTGATGTGCTATTCTGGACGGGCTCCCGGATAGAAAAGGACGGCAGGTAAAAAGGAAATCTGAATAACGTATGGCCGTTCATTCATCATAATGTGTCAGTATTGGTTTGCTGACTGGGACAAATATGTTCCAGTAATGTAAGATGCTAATAAGAGAAACTGGGCGTAGGTCTCATGGGAACTCTTTGTACTATCTTCTCATTTTGTTTTTCCTGTGAATCTAAAGCTTTTCTAAAAAATAAGTTCTATTGAAAAATGTTTGTTTTCTTTTAAAAATGCAAATCCCTGGGCCTGCCTTCAAAATCTTACACAACAAACCACTTAAAACAAGCATCTGGGTGGTTTTGTGCACACGCGTCTGAGAATCAGCGTCTTAGAGACCCTCTGCTCAGAGGAATCGAGGTTCCTCACTGGCTGTGATTGGGACCCAGGCCACCGTGCTGCACAACCCCCAGATCACCATTGGTGCTGTGACCAAACTGATGATGTTAACGGCAGCTATGCAGCAGGCACCATGAATTGTCAACTGCTGCAGGCATTCCTGTGGTATCATTTGGATTGGCCCACAGAGGTCAATATGAGCCAACATTTAACAGCTGGGGAATTCTTCATCAAAGCCCAAAGCTCTGGGTTGCATTACTGTATCTCCCCCGCCCAATCCCTCCTGGAATTTCCTCATGGGGCTCAGAGTGGTTCACCTCTTCAGATGAGCTGTGTGCTGATCCCTTCAACACAGTCTCTGCCACGCCCTACTGATCCTTCCACTTTTCTGTGTTTAGTCGCTCAGTCGCTCAGTGTCCGACTCTTTGCAACCCCAGGGACTGAAGCCCACCAGCCTCCTCTGTCCATGGAGATTCTCCAGGCAAGAAAACTGGAGTGCGTTGCCATGCCCTCCTCCAGGGGATCTTCCCAACCCAGGGACTGAACCCAGATCTCCCGCATTGCAGATGGATTCTTTACTGACTGAGCCACCAGGGAAGCCCCCTTACACTTTAAGAGCTGTTATTATCATGCCTGTATTGTTGACTTTTCACAGGAATAAAAAAAAAAACTTCTCCATATCTGGGTCACCATCAAAAGTGGAAAAATGGAAGATAAATGAAGTGAGACTATGTCTTCAAAACCTGGGAGAGAGGATCCTTTTTTTTTTTTAATATTTTTTTTATTTATTCATTTATTTGGCTGCACCAGGTCTTAGTTGCAGCATGTGGGATCTAGTTCCCTGACCAGGGATCGAACCTGGACCCCCTGCATTGGGAGCTCACAGTCTTAACCACTGGGCCAGCAGGGAAGTCCGAGAGGATCTTTTTTAATGTTTGCTCTCCACAGTAAATGCACTAGAACATTCTCTCCTTTTAAAAATTTTCCCTTTTTTTTTTTGGCCATGCCACATGGCAGACAGGATCTTAGCTCCCCAACCAGGGATTGAACCAGTGCCCCATGCAGTGGAAGTGCACATTTTAACCACTGGCATGCCAGGGAAGTCCCCAGAAAGCATCTTTATTTGTGTACGTGGGAGAATCTTACTGCATGACTAAGATGCAAGCTAAGTGTGTCTGTTGATGACTTATGGCCAGACTTTTCTTTCAGTGATGGCCCCTGTGGACATTTGAGCCCCCATTTTCCCAGGTCAGCAAGAGATGCTGCAGCGATGAACAGACCAAAGGTGGATCGTAGAGAAAGAAGGAAGGGGAAAGTCAACTGAAAGTGAAAGTCACTCACTTGTGTCTGACTCTTTGCGACCCCATGGGTTATACAGTCCAAGGAATTCTCCAGGCCAGAATACTGGAGTGGGTAGCCTTTCCCTTCTCCAGGGCATTTTCCCAACCCAGGTCTCCTGCATTGCAGGCGGATTCTTTACCAGC